TAAACCAAATAAAGTATGTTCGTCCTCTATTACGGAGTAAATATTACCAGAGAGAATACACATGTTCCACAATTTTTTAAATATTAAAACCACCAAACAAAATATAACAATTAAAATCAGTTTCGACAAATAATACCAGCTTGAAAATTAACAATCTAGCTTTAACTTTGAGAAGAAGCATTTTCTGGAAGGATTGTGGGCAAGACATTTGTAGAAATATCAGATTGAAAAGAAATAAATCTAGTTCTGACCTTTTCAGGAAACCGTGCTCTGTATAAGATAGCGGCCAGTATATGCTCACACCAGAACTCCGACAAGCATTTCGAACAGGAGACATATGTAATACGCTGTTTCTCAAACTTAACACTAACACTGGCATGTTCCTGCGCTTTCCTTGGACTTGTTTCTAATCGTGCTACTTGTGCAGCCAATAAAAACCCTGCAATTAATGTATTTAAATTGAATGACAAAACTTGTCAAATATACCATTGTAATTCGAAATAACGAATACTTATATGATTCTTTTTTGTTGTACATTAGATACATTTTGTAAGTATGGAACTCTACCGATGTTTCTATGTCCATATTTTTGTTATTCATGAAAAAATAAAATTAGTGTATACATTCGGAAACCATGTTATCATATTTAACATATCAAATGGGGAAAAAGAAAAACAATTATTTGAATAAAATTAATTAATATTCCAGCTGGATGCGTTTTCATCTCATGTTATCTTACGGGTATCTTTTTAATGATATTTACATTCAATTTTTATTGATTCAAAATGTTGTTTGTTAGGAATAAAAAATGTTTACCGCCTTAAGGTTTAATGTTCATTACAGTGATGATTAAATACAAAACTATGTAATAACCTACCATTTAAGTGAGCATAACCACACACCAATATAGCTTACCTATCTGTCTACATTCCTTTACTGACCCTGCTTTTACTAAACATTCTGCATGATCCCATAGATAACGATAAGATTTTGAACAAAGAGTTGCACAACTCTTTAGTTTCTTCTGGTCCACAGGGGAAGCTTTCGCACAGATCTATAAGGTAATACAGACCACATTGAGCAGGAATATTGTGTAGATCTAACATACCTAATCATTAAAACCAAATGTTAACCGAACCTGATTTCCAACTGATGCGCCATCTCTAAGGTTCAAATAAACTTTCTTTAAAAATTGTTTTGACATTTGCATCACCTCATTGAGCACGTAAAAAAGAAAGGTGTATACCACAGCGCCAACACACACAAAATGAAAGACAACAAAACCCTACGTAAATACGGTTCTTAAAACATGGCTTACGGTATTATATTGTTCAAAAGAACCTTTCTATAAATTCCTAATATAGCATGCTACTGAGAAGGTAATCAACTATACTTTCATATATGATGTAGCTTTTCACATGATTACCCTCTCTAGAAGGTGATCATCCAACGATAAATTCGTACACTCCAGCTCAGCACAACCCCAGTACTTCGATGTCTCTCGTGCAGCAAGGTCTTTGAGTGATTCGATACTAACGGTATCCGGAAGTCCTGGTTCCACGCCATTATCGTGACTATCCTGACCATCCTCACCTCTCCGTGATTCTATATGTATAGAATAGATAGGTTGAATGGAACAAACATAGTGTGTCAATTATGTTTATATATAAAGTGTAAATCAATAATTAATCAAGTGGAAGTCTTTACAAAGACCCTTCTCTCCCCCCCCCCC